ACCATCTCACCAGCACCTAACAGGAGATCTTGACACAGATTTGAGCACACGGGGTTAATGGAAAAGGAGATGGGGCATAAGTCACACCCAGGTTCTGCGCTCTGAGTCCTGCTTAAGGGCCTTCCCGGTAGCCATGTGAAGGATTTCTGTGGCTTCTAAAGTCACATCTCAGAGCTTCCGAAGGGGCCTTTTTTCCACTTTCTCTTTTTAGAAAATGAAACGACAGGGTGGTTCCTCAGGTGCTTTGGACAGGATTGCAACTTGATAGGAGAAACCCTCTGTCACAAAGGTTATACCAGGGGTTAAGGCACGCCTTTTTACTGTAAATGGAGTTTACAGTTTGGCTTGTGAGATTCCTAGGAAATTACATATTTACAGGTGGGAAAAGAGAATGGCTATACTTGGTCATAAAACATTATTGGCCTTAGACCTGTAGACTCCTGGGCACAGCTCATTGACATTTCAACATTCTTTTTCCTTTTTCTTTCTTTTTTTTTTTTTTTTGGGTTTTTAAGACGGGGGTTTCTCTGTGTAACTTTGGAGCCTGTCCTGGAACTTGCTCTGTAGCCCAGGCTGGCCTCGAACTCACAAAGATCTGCCTGGCTCTGCCTCCCGAGTGCTGGGATTAAAGGTGTGCACCACCAACACCCAGCCAACATTTCAACATTCTTTTTTTTTTTTTTTCTTCAGGGGAGATCGCTAACGCAGTCCCCCACTACCACAAATTATTCAGTCGAGTTTCCCCGCATTTGGGGAGATCACAGGGGTCAGCACATCTGGATTGCAATGGATAAGCCTTGCCCTGGGAAAACCACCTTTGTGATCATGGTATCTTCCCTGCTAAGTAAGTATTCAACATTCTTATTTGAAATATCTTTATATAAAAGGATCACCATCTCTCCATAGACAAACTTCATGTCAAGTTCTGTTAATTATGCTGGCATTCTTTTTATGTACTTATTTATTATTCATTCATTCATTTATTTAATGTGCATTGATGTTTTGCCTCCATGTATGTCTGTGCAAGGGTGCCAGATCCCCTGGAACTAGAGACAGACTAGTTACAGACAGGTATGAGCTGCCATGTGGGTGCCAGGGATTGAACCCTGGGTCCTCTGAAAGAGCAGCCAGTGCTCTTAACCGCTGAGCCATCTCTCCAGCCCCTGTGCTGGAACTGTTAACTCCCACTGGTGACAAACTTCAACCAGACCCTGGGATCAGGGACTCCCTTCCTTGCTATGTTATGCTGCCTCCACTAGGCCCTGAAGAGCACCAAGCAGCAGGTCCTGGAGAGCACTAGGGAGT